AAAAAAAAAAAAAAAAAGGGAAACAAACATATATACATATCTACATACATACAGAAATACATATATTCCTCCATTATATTATATTATATTATACATACATGTATATTTATATAATATAATTATTGGAACAAAAAAAAAAAAAGAAAACGCGTTACTACCCACAGAAGCATACACTCAGAGAGACACAAAAACAAGAAAAAGCAGGAAAAAAAAAAGAAAAAGATAAGCACACATATAAAATTAATATATATAAATATAAATATACAATATTTATGGACGATACAACAAAGCCGATAGTGTTGCGAAGAGGATGTAAACAGAAAGTTATCCCCAAACAAAAAAAGAAAATAAAAAAAAAAAAAAGAGATTGATATGAGGGGAGAAGTGGCCCCGGAGCCTTTCTTTTTTTTTTTATTTTCTTTTTTTTTGGTGGGGGGATTTCTTCATTCATTTCTCCAGTGATATGCCCCTAAACACAACACACACACACACAACTCATCAATACATACGTACAATATGTATAAATATATACATATAAATATAAATCTAACAATATACATACATACATACATACATACATATATAATGCACCGACATAGCTCCCACAGAGGACCACAGCGGATTAAAATATATTTCAGCATCCACCCCCTCACCCCACCTCCCCACACACACACGCACCCTCTGCGGTTGTTTTAATTCTTTCTAATTGCTTCCGTTTTGGAGTTTTTCCGCCCATATATATATATATATTTTTTTTTCTTTGCTTCATTGTAAATTCTTTTTACACCCGCTTTTTTTTTCTTGTTTTTGTTGTATTGTTTTGTTTTTGTTTTTTTTCTTTTCCGTATTTTGTTATTGTCGTTGTACCTTCCCGTTTCCCCACCCCAACCCCGTCGCAGCGCCCCTCACTAAATGACCAATTCATTCTCGGCGATAGAACGCAACAGCAACGAGAAGAGATGAGATGAGGAGAAAGAGAGAGAGAGTGAGAGAGAGAGACGCTCAACACTTCCGCTGCCCCATGACATCCGAGAGCCACCGATGGGCCAACATATCATGCACGGCTGGGCGCCTTGACGGATCGTATGACGACAAGCAATGCATAATGAAATCGGCAGCCCCTTGAGCTTCAGCCGTAGGCAGAAATGTTTCTAATTCCCTATCTAGATGTCGTCGCGGGTAAAGCCGATACTTTTCGGAGTAAATGAACCGACCACTCTCGTTAAAATAACGATGAATATAACGTGGCGGAGGACGTTTTGGATCTCGTCGTGTACGAAGACGAATGATCTCATCAGGAATAGGCCCAAGGAGTTGCATCATCATTGCCAGGTGCTCAACGTCCATCATACGCTCGTTCTTTGTGCGACGCTTTGGATCCATAAGAAAGTCACCAGTAATAATTTCAAACACCATACAGCCAACGCTCCATAAATCGGTACGTGTGTTAAAATCTAGACCAATGATAATCTCAGGGGCACGATATTCACGGGTTTGAACCATTGTACCCCGCAGATTTGTGACGGTACCCGGTTTTTCTACAGGGAACTCTCTTTTCTTTCCGATTAGACTCTTCAACAACAACTTAGATTCACTTGACTCATTCGAATTATCCCATCCATTGGGCGGTTTCAAAGCAACTGAGAGACCAAAATCCGCGAGACAAACAAGATGGTTTGGATCCCCTTGTGAGATAGCATCCCGTACGGTTTCGTATGGCACCATCGCTGAGCGGTCCTTGTTGCGTCGGCAAAATGTTTCAATCACGTCCAAAACTTTGGGATCGGGTAAGGAGCAAAGAATATTTTCTGGTTTTATGTCCGTATGGATGACATCCAACTTGTCAAGTTCTTGCAGTCCTACAAGGACCGAAGCGACAATTTCTTTAATCAGACGAATCTCCTGAGCCGAACGTAATCCCTTTTTGGCCTTCATCTGATCAATGATACTAAGAAGATTTGAGCCATGTAATGGCATTACCATGCATACATGTGATCCATACTGACCAGGCACCTCAAAATGGTCTACAAGATTCGTCAGAGGCGCAAAAGGAGACGCTTGCATCCCAATATAGCGGAGTAAATTGATCTCATATTGCGTGCTCACAGAAACCGTATTATCACACTTGGCAATTTTTAGCGCAACAAAGGCTTGATGTGGTTTGCCACAAGTTTTATGCATAGTGTCATAGGCTAACCAGACTGTGCTAAATTCACCCCAGCCCAGCTTTTGTACCACCACATAGCGAGAGTTCAACTTTTTGCCTGGAGTAACACTCATGTAGCCTCCTTCGCAGTATGCATTCTTGTTTTCCTCGTAGTGATTGCGCCAGCGTAGAACAAATTTTTCAATGAGTGGGCGAGATGAAACAAAAGATGAAATTACATTGTAAACCGGCGAGGGTCGCCGTGCGCAACGACTGATTAGATTCAAAGTTTCAGTGCTGCTTCGGCTGCATTCGTCACTTGGTACAGGAGTTGTCCCTGGTGTAGTACTTCCTGGGGCTGTTATTGGTTGCGGCGGTGCCTTTGGTGCAGGAATGGCATTAAGGCATCGATGAACAGTCGTTGACTGCTGTGTTGGATACATACGAGCCGCGTATACGGCAGGTGTCGGTTTTGGGTGCGGCGTAATACACAAGCTTTCATGAATGGGTAATTCTCGGTTAGGAGTAATATTCAGGTCACTGCATCGTGAACTGTCAAGGAAGCTGTTCTCCATCGTGGATGATACCTGCAAAGTACCCTGCACACTTGCCCTTTGTACACAGTGCAGCGCAGGATTCGAAACCTTTTGCACAATCTGCTGAGGAATAGGCTCCACTGCAATCGATTTGTAATCCGGGAAGGCTTCCGTCGGATTGCTCATACTCAGTTGATTTGTAGCCGTCCTTGGCGCTCCACTGCTTGGATACGGTGACGGAATCGACACTTTAACCGGTACAGTAATCCCATCATCCGTATTGGAGAGATCGTTACTGCTTGTCACAATGGAATCATCTTCCTTTCGGCTCACCCGCAACTTTTGTCCTGGAGTCGCAATTTGTCGCTGTTTTTGGGGTTCTTTGGGTTTTTGCGGTTGCTGTTTCGTTTGTTGTGGATGCGACGGATGAACAGATGAGGGACGCGACACACCAACGACATCGAGTAACGAGGACTGCTGCGCCGACTGTGATGTCGTCGCTAATGCACTTGCGTTTTTTACTGAATAACGCGCGGAAGACCCCACCCCACCAGCATTTAAAAAAGCGGAAGAGTATGTCCCGCCATGGGATGCCAAAATCCGCGTAGGAGTTCCTTGTGGGTAGGCAGGGTAATCCGCCGTCATCACTTGGTACCGCCGACGGGCAACAATGGCGTAACGGGGGGACATTGGCCCAATTCCAGAAGTGCGAGAGGCATAATTTGGCGCAACAGGAGAGGCACGCCGCGGTGTAAAATCATCAGGACGCGAATGCACAGCAAAGCTGCGGCCCTGCGGTGAACCCACTGGAGACATACCCGTCCGTGATTGATCTCTTGCCCACGAGTACCACGATCCCAATGGACTCCGCAATGATGTATCCGCGGATATGCAACCTATGGGCCGCCGTATGGGCGAGCAATAAGCCTCACCTCCTGCTGACATAAAAGACTCCCCTCAAGCCTGTGATTCCAGCACAATGTTAAACTATGAGAATGACGTTCAGCGGTGTTTCTCGCTTTTGGGAGGTTGTTATTTTCCTTACTTCCCTCAATATACAAAATACGCCTGCCTGTACGCGTGTATTGTATTCAACTTGGTTCTAAAAACAAACTCACACAGAGATAGATTGATGGTGAAAGAAATTGAAAGAGAGAAAAAAAGTAAAAGAGAGAGAAGGGAAAACGGATTAAAAAAAAAAAAGTAGAAAAACAGACAAAGAACAATGGCTCTGACAAAAAGGAGGAGAAAGAGAAAATGGGACTGTGTGTGTACACGTTTCGGGCAGTAAAAAATGAAAAGGGTATCTATAGTTTGAAAATAAGATACACTTCGCACAAATGCAAGAAGGTGAAACGTCAACAGCAAAACCAAAGAAGAAACACAAATGCACGCACAAAAAGGATCATCATTCCATTTTTCATCACCATAAATAACGTTCAAGTACAGAAAAAGAAAAAAAAAGATAAGGGATCCACTCCTCAGATATACACAAAGATGAAGGCAAAGAAGGTGGTTAACGTCGCAGCTTTTCCAAGAAGTCAGCTAACTCTTCCGTGCTAACACCTGAAGCATCATACTGTATTCGAGAATCCTCTCGGCGTGACGCCGAGTACATCCGCACACTGTACGTGTAGGAATCTTGAATGATACTATGTGCCACGTTAAGGATGTTACATATAAATAAAAGAAGGTACGTACCAATAAAAAGACGGCCAAAAAGCATCTGAAGAATGCATGTAGATTGGTCCATTACTAAAAATGTGTCAATAATGTTGTCCCCAAATGTCGTGCAGAAAAGTGTGACAATTGAACGCGACAGCGTCCCAAAATAGCCCCCAAAAGCTCCAAAAACAACGTGACCACAAAAAGCGTATCCAAACATGATGGGAAAAACGGCGACACTGTACATGGAAAGTTGGCTTCCAGCCGTCACAATGCTGTCAATTATAACGTAACAACGCGGGAAAAGTATCAAGATAGAAACCAAGCGGGTGCAGCTTATGAGTATAGAGAATCCAAGAAATATCGTCACTGCCTGCTCCAAGCCGGAAACTCTTTCAGGATAAAACTGGCTCGCAAGCGCGGTAATGCCAAACATTAACACAAACGCATCCGATAGAAAGCCCAAACAACGCCAACCTCCTTCTTGACAGTGGAAACATGATGGTAATGTTCGCACCTCATCCAAACAGCTTTTCTGAAAAGCGAATATTTCTAGTATTGAAGCAGAAAAACGAGGAAATGTGCGAATACGAAGCAAAAAACCCAAAAATACCAGTGGAAGCAAGGTGCAACTGATCATTATGGGGAGTCTCTCAGGTATGTGTCTATCGACACAGTCCAATGATGCTTTCATGGTCATTACAGAGCTATGTCCAGTCATTCCAAATTTAAATGCTACAAACCACACTCTCGACCTCGGTGACCCATCAGTTTGCCTCACCAATGAATAAAGCGAAAACGTCAGTTTAACATCCATGAGATGGTCAACAAGTTGTCCCATTGGTGAAGTTCGGCAAGGCACATAGTATAACCCATCCAAGTCTTCACGTGGTTCGCAAGATTCAGTTCCATTAATTAATACTTCTGGATGAGCAAATGGTCCCAAAGGATCCTCTTTCAGAATAGTAAAAGATTTATGAAAAGTCTTTAAGCACTTTGTCGATTCGTAGCACTCTTGAAAATAAGTCAATTCTAGAAGGGGAGGAACGGTTGTTGAGTTGTCCTTGTCAACCACGTAATGCATAAAAGAACCCGTACCAGAAAATGGCAATCCATAATATGCCCCGATTATACCTTTGAATGTCGACAAGAACTCACCAATCGTTTGAAATTCCTTCTCAAAGCCTGCATTAGACATCCCTTCAGCTCCAAACAAAAAACCGGCCAACTCAAATCGACTATCATTAATTTCCTTATTTCGCGGCGTCTGGTAAATAAACGCAAAAGTAATTAGAAGCGCTAGTATGATGCAATTAACCACGTACTGAAGCAACATCTTATTCCTTTTTCGTTCCCTCCTTCTTCTGTCGTCGGTATTTTCGCATATATGAAGAGCCCGCGGATAAAGCTCCAATAATCCCGTTGCCTTTATTCCTATATAACAAATCTGCCTGCCAATTTTTTTCAACAAACTAAAAAGATGTTATCAACAAACACTATATAAAAAAAATAAAAAAATATATAAAGCAAAAGATATTTATATATATGAAGGCAAAGCATTGAGTGGATTATAACCAAGGAACAAGAAAAAGCAAATTGTAATATTATTATCATTCCCTGTTTGATGCTTTTTTTTTTTCAACAGCAAAATTCAAGTTAAACTTCTTTTTCGGATAAAGTTCATTCGCAAACAGCTGGCGTTTCAAACACCATAGTATATCGGCACATGGATGGCTCCTCAACTTGAACCAGCTTGTTTTCCGGACCACATATCACGTAAACATCAGTCATACGAGTCAAACCATTCCAGCACCGATCACCATTTTCAAATATCATGTGAGTGTAATCACTCGTACTCGACCACAGAGAATACGTGTTATCACCGAACCTTCCCCACCTCCCAATGCATGGACCGTGTGTTGTGCCTTTATCATACTGATGTACATCCTTAAGAGGACAAATTTCATATGTGTGGGCCGAAGTATTCAAAGAAAAACATTCATTACTGAAAGTTCTGATAACATCCCCTGTGTTGATACTTCGATTCAATCGATTTTGAATTTCTTCTACAGAAGATGAAAGCTTTTCCACTCTTTCACGGGATTCCTTCAATTCAAAACGGAGGTCTCGTGCCTCCGGTAATTCAAATGAAGCGCCATCGTCCATATCAAACCGATCATCATCCATTTCTTTATTATCTTTCTCGGGGTTTTCGCAAACGTTCGAACATTGTAACGGTTCATGGTCACATTCTTGATCATAAGCCACCTTTGAATCCGTTTCTTTGTTAATACATTCACAAAAGCCTGCTTCAAAAGGATAAATAATATCGTCACAACCCTTATCAACAAGTGGCGATTCCTCTTCAGGGTCACAAATTTTAGTTGGGCTCCATCGTATGCAATTTGTAGTCAAATTCCCTCTTGCATTCAAATGGCTTGTTTGATTCTTCTTTCTTTTTTCTT